GGAGCGCGGCCACGGCGCAGGTGAGGCGGCCCGCCCCAGGCCCGCTTCAGGCCTGCTCCCTCCGGGGCGGCCCGAGGGCATCCGAGGTTCGTACGGAGGGCCGACAGGCTAGGCCCGAGGGCTCCCTGCTCGGAGTGAGGAGCTGAGGCCTGCCACGCAGCGCGGGCGAGGGCGGGGAGACCAGGCCTCGGCGATCAGCCTACAGCGTCCAGCCCCGGGCTGGGCCCGCGGTAACTGAGGGCAGCAGGGTCAGCCAGGATTCCGGCCGTGTAGAAGTGGGCCTCAGGTCCCGGAAGTCGCAAGGCGGGAAGGGGAAAAGCGAGGAGGCTGCCGGCAAGGCCGGAGGGGGAGGGGAAGCCCTGGGCCTGCCGGAGGGGAGGAGGGGAGGAAGGGAGGGCAACAAGGCCGGAGGGAAACGGCCGGAGGGGGCGGGGAGGGGCTGGGCCTGCAGGTAGCGAGCGCGTGGGGAGAAGGTGGGCGAGTCAAGTTACAGGCCTGGGGGAGGCAAGAAACCCTGGAAGTGGGGCATGGTGGGTGTGGGCGGAGCCTGCTCTGGGTGGGGGCGGATGGGAGATCCCTGGGATGTGTGCTGGGGGTCACGCGAGGTCAGAGCTTGGAGATGTAGGGACAAGCGACATCCCTGAGGCCTTCAGGTAAGGCTGGGGCATCTCGCTAGGACCTTCGGGGCTATGTCAGGAAAAACTAGTGTGACCAGAGTTGTGTACCCCCCACACCCCCTAAGTGTTCGCTCGTAGTGCGAAACGGGAGTTTCCTCTTCCTACATCTCATCCCCGAAACCTCTGCGAACTGCAGGCACAGGCCAGCGGGTGGGAGGTTGCATGGGCAGCCCCAGACACCTATCTCTGGAATCTTGTTTTCTTTTTTGAGTGGCCCCTGTCCACCCCTTCATCACACATCCTGTATAGAGGCAGTCCAGCAAGTATTACCTGAGTGTTTTAGGGTCCTGAATTCATTCTCGACTTTGTGGCGCCTGAACCTGGGACCTAAGGGTCGGGACTACCTCGAGCCATGCCTTATGGGAAGCTTTCCTGGCTGAAACTTCTTTGGCTCTGTCTCTCCGCCTGGAAGATAAATTATTGGTGATTGTTGATGGTGTTTTGGATACAAAATAGGCATCAACACATCTTGACTTAAGCTTAACTCTAGGGTTTGCCTCCTAGGTGCTCCTTCTGTGTTAGGCAGTATTCTGAGACGACCGGTGAACACATAGATCACTTACCATCACTGGGTTCATGGTTCTGGAAGGAAGCTTGAGGCTCAGGAGGCGTGACTTGTCCCTGGTCTTATGACTAAACTGTGGCCTAATCAAGTTGGCCCTCCTGGGGCACCAGTGGAGGAATTCCTGCTAGTCCGGATTCCCTTACCTAGTGGACACCCTGGAGTGGCTCAGTCCCCTTGCAGATGGATCAAGTTTCCCTTGTTGTCTTAGAGCCTGGAACTGTGGGGGCTTTTGCTGAGAACTTGCCCACACCTCTCCCATATGGCTTTGGGGTGGGGGGTCAGGAAGTGTGATCCTTCTTCGAGAAGTGGTTGTAAAGGTGGATGTTACTTTTCCAGTGGGATTTTGCGTTGCTTGCTTCTACTGTACCCTGGCTTCTGCAGTGCCCCAGCTTTTGTCCTTTCTGTACTAATTCAGATGCTGTTAACATCTTGAGGAGTTGGGGGCTAGTGTTTGGGCTTTTTTTGTTGTTGGGTTGAGGAATGGGGAGGTTGATACAGAGTCTCAGCTCTAGCATAGGAAGGCCTTGAATGATGGTCCTCTTGCCTCAGCCTCACAATGCTTGGATTAAGGCAAGAGCCACCACACCCGGCTGTCCTGGGGATTTAATTGCGATCAGCACATGAGGCAGGAACCTCAAACTGCCCCAAGAGTGTTATCAGCTGGTTCTTCTGGGTTTAATCTTGATACCTGGATTCTCCCTTATAGTTTCCAGAACACCCCACTAAACAGCAGTCAGTTAGGTCCTGTCCTCTCCCCTGGCCTCTTAGTTTACAGATACGACTGTGTCTGTAAAGAACATTGCACTGAAAGGTTGCTTTCTCCACTCTGCTGTTGCCTCTCCTTGAAGCTGCATTCCCAATAGAACCCCTTACCTGCCCCACTAGCTCCACCTGTTAGACTAATATCTCATCAGCTTTACACTTGCCTTTATTCGTGCCATTATACTTCAGCTGTTAATGCACAGAAACTGTATTTCCTGTCTGTTTGGACCAAGGCCAGCTGCTGCGGCATAGACTAGGTGCCCCTAGGCCTCAGGGAGGTGGGGTATGCAGGATGGGGTCAGCTAGTCACAACTGAAACACACAGACTTGTGGGAGTTGGCCCTGTTGTGTAGAAGGCCATCACCTGGAACTAGAGCAGAAGGCATTGGTCATATTTGCTTTTCAGTACAAACTTGGGGTGCATAGAGTAGGGGCAGGCACTGGTAGGCCCAGGGGGCCAGTTTCATTTTATGCTCTGTGCTCATTCCCTGGTGGGGTTGGGGAAGCAGATCCAGGAGGAGTTGGCTCTATGGCAACTTTTGTTTGGAAGGTGACCAACCTCAGACAAGGAAATAGTTCTTAGAGCTCCAGAGAAAATGGGCTGTTCTGTTTATGAAGATGGTATAGCCAGGCCAGGAGATAGTGAGTGCTGCGAAGGCTAGGAGGTTTCCTTCAGGTGGTCAAGGAAGACTTCTGGAACAGTCATGATCTGAATAATAAATTAGGGGTTGTAGGCCAAGGACAACACGTTCAAAGCTTTTATTGAGTATGTGTCAGGCACCTGCTACACATATTTTTTCTCTGTGAGGAGGAGCAAGGGATGACCCCTATTGGGGGCAGCGATCCTTCATGTCATCTACAAGAAAGGATTGCCTGGGTCTCCCCAGCACCCCCAGGTGAAGTTCTGTTAGCTGACTGGGCTGCAGAGAGCCCACTCAGGTTCTCGTGATCTGAACTTAGATTGTACAGGAACTATTGGAAGGGTTAGCCCAGTGAGTTCTAACCAGGGTCTTCATTGCCAGAGCCCTTAGGGACCAGAACCAAATACACACTGGAGCTGAGCTGGAGGCGGGCGTTTGGCCGCTTTGTTCCTACCTGGAGTCTTCTCTGCCCTTCGGCTCCTGTCGATTACTCGGAGCAGTTCTCCATGTTTGAGCTCATTTAAACACCACTCCTGTGTGATGATTGATACACAAGGAAATTGAAGCAAAGTTCTTCCAACACTCCACTTCCCTGATGCCTGCAGTAGAGGCCTGCACAACTGGCCTGTGCAGCCCTCCAGCCACATCACACCTCCCCAAGTTTGTTCCTGTGCCCCTTAGGCCCATGGTGTTGATTCCCACAAATGGGGGTGGGGCTACTCCTAGCCCTCTCTAGTGGGTTTGGAGGCCAGGGTTAGACAGCAACCTTCCATAAGTTGTCTAGGACAGCCCCCACCACCAAGAATGAACTGATGAGACTGGTGAGATGACTCAGTAGGTAAAGGTGCTTGCCACCAAATGTGGCAACCTAAGTTTGATCCGTGGAACCCGTGTAATAGGAGAGACAAGTTGTCCTCAGACCCTACCCACCTGCCATGGCATGTGTATGCATGTGCACATACACAGATGTAGCTTTAAAAACAAGAATGAGCTAGTGTAAATGGTACTGGCAAGGTGTTCTAATAATACATGTTCTCTGGTTTTCAGAGGGATTATGGGAAATGAGTATCTGCTGTGTGGTGAGACTAGGCTGTGAAGGACCTGACAGGTAACCTCTGAAATAGCACAAGTTCCAGAAGATAGTAGAAGTAAAAGACGTCTACTCAGGGAGTTTATAGATGGGGAGGAGCAGAGGGGACAGTAGCAATAAGAGCCAGTGGGTGTCAGTTAGGCACTGATGTGCTGATCTGTTGCTTAGTCCTTGAAACAGCCTGATCTGAGGTTTCTATGTTGGTCTTTTTTTAATTTTTTCTTTTTCTTTTTCTTTTTTTTTTTTTTCAAATTTTGGTTGACGGGGGAGGGAGAGGGGAGGATGGACCATGATGCATATGTCAGGTCAGAGGACAACTTGTGGGAGTTGGTTCTTCTACCATATGGGTCCTGGAGATCAAACTCAAGTCATCAAGTTTGGCATCAGGCACCTTTACCCACCAAGCCAGCTCTCTAGCTCAAGTGTGCCAGTAGTAGTATAGGTACAGGTGGTCCTCTATCACTTTAGATTGAGAAATAGAAACAGTATTGCATCTGTAGAACATATACACCCTTTTGGTTGCTTTTTGTGGTGCTTGGGATCTAATCTAGGGCTTTGTACTGCCTCCTTCCCCTAATAGGCTTTTGTTTGTTGTCTTTATCCCCTGAACTGTACAGTGTAACAATTCCTGGTTTTGAGACACATGTTGTTGTACATAGTAGTCCATAGTGGCTTGAACTCATGATTCTGCTGCCTCAGCCTCTCCAGTGCTGGGGTTAAGAGACACATACTACCTGGGTTTTATTTATTTATACTTTTTTTATTACATTTATATTTATTTAGGGAGAGATAGGGGTTGTAGGACAACTTACAGGAATCTCCAGCTATGTGGGCTCCAGGGATTGAATTCTAGTTGTGAGGCCTGGTGGCACTTGCTTTTTCTTTTAATTAATTAATTTATTAATATTATTTTGGTCTTTTTGAGACAGGGTCTCCCTGTAGCCCCAGCTATCCTGGAACTCACTATGTAGACCAGGCTGGCCTTGAACTCACAGAGATCTGCCTACCTCTGCCTCCCAAGTGCTGGGATTAA